TTTCCCCATGTGTCACTCCAACAAAAGCATTCTCTGGGCATGTGCCAGGCCCTGGAGGACAACAAGAAAGACACACTCTCCGCCCTCACTGAGCTCACAGTCTGGGGGCAGGGGAGGGGGGACCCAGATAAACTGACAGGCAATTAAAATATAATGTGCCAAGCCTGTAGTGATGGGGTAAGAAGGGTCCCACAGCATCCCAGGGGCACCTGGTCTAGCATGTAGCTGGGTGCCCCGAGCATGGGAGTCTATTGGAAAAAAGCCAGAGGGGGAGTCCCCGGATGAACAGCACGAAGAGGCTTCTGTCCATACACACTGCGTTCTCAGCAAACACCACAGATGCTCCACTGAAACTGGAAAATTCCACAGGCTCTTCAAGGAGTCAGTGCAGCACACATGGCACCAAAGATGAAAAAGCACTGGGAAGCCATTGTAAAAACTCCAGGCTGTACTCAAACCCACTACTCCTGACCTGAACGCATGCCCCCTTTTTGCAAGGGGCAGGACACCTCCTCACACAGGCGTCCACACACGCATGTGCACGTAAACACATATGCACGCACGCACCATGCTTCAGCCTCTTCCTCTTCAACAAGGTCCCTCAGATAACTTGAGACATCACTTAGCTCTGAGCTGCTGTGTCTCAGAGGAACATCCACAGTCCCCACAGAAACCCCAGAGCAGAGATGCTGGCTGGCAGACACTGTGGAGAACATGTGCCAAAAAGAAGGCTCAACAGCTGCCATTCAGGGGACGCAGGAATTGGACATTACCCCGGAACGAGTGCTGGGTTTACAGCGCCCACCCTGATTTTAAAGCAGACGATCAAGAGAGTCAGAACAACACCAGGACACAAGACATATTTTGACTGAAGAGAAGAACCTCCAGGTACAGGCAGGAGGCTCCCGAGCTCCAGGGCACTTCCTAGGGCTTACACCTGACTATTTCTTTTTTTTTTTTTTGCGGTACACAGGCCTCTCACTGTTGTGGCCTCTCCCGTTGCGGAGCACAGGCTCCGGACGCGCAGGCTCAGCGGCCATGGCTCACGGGCCCATGGCTCACGGGCTCCGCGGCATGTGGGATCTTCCCGGACCGGGGCACGAACCCGTGTCCCCTGCATCGGCAGGCGGACTCTCAACCACTGCGCCACCAGGGAAGTCCCTGACTATTTCTTTAAACCAACAGGTCATTTCATTCTAAATTTTAAAATTTATTTTAAATTCCCCAAGGAGGAGCCTTGGAAAGTCTTCCAAAAGCACACACTCATTCTCAAGAAGGTCACCTGATGCTATTCAGAATTGTTATTCAAATGTTATTCAGAATTTCCCCTTTGCAGAGAAAACCCCTGGGTCCATGGTCTGGAGTGACCTGGGGTACAAGCCTGTTCGGGCGTCTGGGATCAGAAGAGCCTGCTCCCCGCACCCTCCGCCCCATGCTGGGATAAAGGGAGCCTGTGAACACATGGTTTATCGCCACACATTTGGTTTTGAAAACCTGGCAGGTCCTCCTGTTTTTGTAGGAATTTTCCACATTGTGGTTCTAAATGCCTCCGAATTTCTCCAGAGAGGTGACACCAAACCAGGTTTTTTCCTCAATAACATCCCACTTGGGGGCAGGGTTAAGTTTAGGTAACATATAATATTTGAGGAGTGGTGTGAGATGAAGAGAGAAAATTGAGCCGAAGGTGATGAGCGGAATAAACAGGCCTCCTGCTGGGCGTGCCGGTGTGAGGGGCTGTGACCTCGGTCCCCAGGAGGAGACCCCACCCCGGGAGCACTTACACTCTCCCTCCTGTACACAGTGCGGATGCAGCTAAGGGTGCTCCCGTAGCCAGTGCCGGCCTGCAGGCGAGCCTGCGGAGAAAGGCAAGGGCGTGAGGGCCAGCCGGAGACAGGTTACATCCCCACCTCCCTCATGGCTCTGGGCTCCCAGCACTGAAGCCCAGAGAAGGGAAGCCCCTGCCCCAGTGACCCCATCAGGAAGGAGGCCTGGACTTCAGTCCCGGCCTGGCTGGCCTTGCATCCTCTATCTGCACCAAGTCCCGTTCTCACCTTGCTAAATGCAGCAGGAGTCCCCTTGGTCTGAGAGAAGAACAAAGGCCAGTTTGGTGTGCAAAAACAATGCTTGTGTGGGGACATATGATGCTGCTGCATCTTGAGTACAAAAAGCTAACCCGTGGCTCTGGCCCACCTGCTGTCCGTCAGTCTGCCCTCCTAAATACTCCCAGGAGCAACCTGCTCTTCTCATCTCCAGAACCCCTGCATCTCTCACCCTGATGATGGGCTGGGCCCCTCGCTGGCCTCCTGCTTCCCCCACCCCAACTCCTCTGCCTGTGCCTACACAACAGTCAGACTAATCTTTTCCAAACAACGATGAATGTTTGCCACTGCTGTTTCAAGCTCTCCAGTGGCCTCCCACCAAACTCAGAATAAATTCCACCCTTAACCAGCACCCAGAAGTGTGGCTTTCACCACCCGCATGTCATTTCCTCTGCACCCGTTGTGCCTGCCACACGGCACGTTCCTGGACCCTGGAGCATCAGCTGTTTCTCACTTCCAGAACGTTCCACCTGCTTTCCTCCCCTGGAAGGCACTTTCTCTAGCTTCTGCTCATCTTTTGGGTCTGAGCTTAAATGCTGCAACGACGTGATCTGTTTGTCTGTTTACTTAGGGTTTATTTGGGCTCCCCCTCTGGGGCAGGGCCATCTTGTATTTCCCTCTCGTCCCCGGAGCCGAGCATGGCTGTGGCACTCGGCCCTTTGTACTGGCTAACCGAGGGGCCAGAAGGTGAAACTGTGGCATCCTCTAATGGAGGCTGGCTCTGGTGACTGGGGGCATCCGTAGACAGGCAGAGGGTCTGAGAAAAGCCACAGAAGAGCCCAGGGCACACTTCACTCTGGGTCTAGACCAGAGCAAAAGTCTGCCAGCTCTTGAGGAAGCTGCCACCGAGGCCAGCAGCACAGCTCAAGCCTCTAAGGACTCCAATTGCAACAGGAGCTAGCATTTAGTATGCATCAACTGCATACTTGGGAAAACACTGGAAATCTTATGGAACTTTTCTCACAGAATCCCACAAATGCTCTGAGGCATGGATACTATCCCCACTTCACAGATGAAGAAAGCTGATTCCCTGTATATGTTTCCGATTGCTGATGTAACAGATTATGATAAATTCAGTGGCTTAAAACAATGCAAATTTATTCTCTTACAGTGCTCTAGCTGGGCTATAGAGAGCTGAGCCCTGAGTAGAAAACCCTGGTCACATTGCATCAGACATAAACTTTAAATGCACCAGCTGTGCCAGGAGCCAGCAGTGAATCCTGACCCCAGCTCTACTGCCACCAAGTAGCCAGTGCCGGCTCTCCCACCTGTGGTGAGGCAGCTGCGGGCAGGGAATGAGTCTTTGACCCAGGTCAGCAGCCTGGATCCTTCTAGCTTGGCTCTCCCAGGGGCGAGCCTGGGAACCAGGAACAAGTCATTCATCTGCCTCCCCACACTCCAATGTGTGTATTCTTCAGGACAGGAGGGGATCGCTCACTGCTCTATCCTCACTGCCACTTGACAATCCTCATGACAGCCCCACCGGGGAGGTGCTCTTTGTCCATTTTACAGACGAGGAAACCGAGCCTTGGGGAGGTTAAGTGCTGTGCCCTAGGCACAGGAGAGTATGCGGGAGGCTGGAGCTGGACTCCAGGTTATTCTGACTCTGAGGCTCTTGCCCAGACCTTTCTCAGTGAACAGGAACTCTAGAGAAAATGCCAGCCAGAATGAAGGAGGATGTTCTGGAGAGAAACGAGGGCCCCAGGCCACAACCCTGGGCTGGACCCGGAGGCCAGCCATGTAAGCCAGCATCTTTAGACTGGGACCCTCAGCAGAGAGGTTCTCAGCCTGAACAGAGACAAGATTCTATGTATCAGGAAATGTTCCCTGCAGAGGCTCAGGGGGCAGAGTGGAGAAAAGAAGGAGAGCCCTGGTCTTTACAGGTGACATGTGGCCAGGCTTGCCCATGCCAGGGGCAGGGGATGAGGATGGGGGTTCCAACAAGCTCTACCCTCCCCGAACCAAGCTGCAGGTGAGGGAAGGATGCTCTACCAGGGAGAGACACTGGTTGCCTGGGTCAGAAATGTGGCTGTTAGGCCTGCCGGGGCAAGGACTGGACTTGCTTTGTCCACCACTGCTGCCCTGCCAGCCCCACAGTGCCTGCACAGAGAAAGCATCCAAGATGCATTTGATGTATAAGCAAAAGGCTGGGCTTGTGTGAGGGGCCAGGAAGTACCTTCAACTATTTAGACACATAGGCTGACCTCCCCATCGAGAAGAGAACAGGCCTGGGCTCTGACAGAGGAGGGGCCCACGGCCACGCAGGGAGGAAGATGGGGAGAAAGGGGACCACAGTGACCACTGGAGAAGGGCCTGGCAGGTCCTCTTTGTGCACGATCCTGGCACAGCGTTAGATACAAATGTGGAAGTCAGGGTGAGGAGGCACTATTTGCGGCCACGTTCTCAGGGTACACCTGTGAGTGCTGGTCACCATGGGGACAGGTGGCAGGGGTAGGGGTGGACCCAAAGAATGTCCCTTTGTAACATCTCACTCCTCAATGCTTCGATTTGTTGTATGACCTGAGGTGACACCCTTCCCCTTTCTGGGCCAGTTTCTACACGTGTAGAACAAGAAGCGTGGATGACCCAATGCCAGGTGGCTTTGCTGGCTCCGTCAAGTTATAACAGCTTCCCATTCCCAACCTAAGTCTAGAGTCCTAACCCGAAGGTCAAGGCCTCCAAGGATTGAGTGCCGACCTACCGGTCCTGGATTCTGATCCGTAGCTGCTTTCAGAAACCTGATGCATCAGCAGAAGTGGCCATGTTGGCCCTTCTGAAGCATGGCCCCCCCGGGCGGTGTCCCCACCTCACTGTCTTTGCCCATGCCATTCTCTGTGCCTGGAGTATCTTTTCCAATGGCCCAACCTTAGATTATGGGCCCAGATTCTGGTTCCTTCCCTCCATAGAGGCTTGCAGGAGAGCACTCACAGTGCCCCATCCCTCCCCTGCAGCTCATGAGAGCCTGGAGGCAGAAATGGAGCTTCACAGAAACAAAATCACTGCCCAGCAAGGACGGGGGAGCATTCCAACTGGGCCTCCTAGCGCTCCGCCCCCGTGGACTGGCACAGAGAGCCTGCCCTGCGCTGGTGGCTTTCTGGGGATCAGAAACAGCAGGCACATTCCCGGAGTCAGACTCACTCCAGGCCCCTTTCCAAAAGGTAATGGCAACATGGCTACCGTACCTTGACTGTGTCCAGAGGGTGGCCGACGATGACGCTCGCTGCACCTGTGGATCAAAGAGGACTTCCTGGTTACTCAGTCCCTGGACTCCTCGCTTGTACTGGCTGGCTCTTAGGACAGAACAGAGGACTCAGACACTTACATTCACTTATTCAGTCAATGCCCAGTCACCAGAGGGAACAGTAACCACCCAGTGTGTTAGGCACAGGCTCACGCATGGAGGAAGGCAAAGAAAATGCTGGGCCCTGCCTCAAGAAACAAGTACCCTAAAAAAAGGGAGGTAAAGGTGCTGGGATAACTGGGTACCCACATGCAAAAGAATAAATAGACCTCTACCTCATACTATATACAAAAGTTAAAAGAAACCAAAGACCTAAATGGAAGCACTGCAACTACAGGAATCATATGCTAAAATATAGGGGGAAATCTCCACGAATGTAGATTTGCAACAGATTCTTACATATGACAACAAAAGTACAGGCAACATAAGAAAAATTGGATGTCATAAAAATTAAAAACATTTGTGCATAAAAGAACGCTCTCAGGAAAGTAAAGAAACCTACAGAAGGGGGGGAAATATTTGCAAATCGAACATTTGATAAGGGTCAAATATCCAGAATATGTAAAGAGCTCTAACAACTAAAAAGAAAAAAAAATTTTTTTTAAGGGCAAAGGACTTGAATAGACATTTTTCCAAAGAAGATATACAAACGGCCAAGTACATGAAAAGATGTTCAACATCATTGGTCATTAGGGAAATGCAAGTCAAAAGCACAGTGAGATTCTGCTTCACACCCACTAGAATGGCTATAATAAAAAAAAAAGAAAAGAAAAGGAAAATAACAAGTATTCGTGATGATATAGAGAAATTGGAACTCGTACGTATTGCTGGTGGAAATGTAAAATGGTGCAGCTGCCGCAGAAAACAGTTTGGCTTACTACAAAGTTAAACATAGGATTACCCTATAACCCAGGAATTCCACTGTTAGAAATATACCTAAAAGAACTGAAAACAGGCACTCAAACAAGTACATATACACACATGTTTATAGCAGCACTATGCAAAAAAGCCAAAAGGTAAAAACAGCCCAATGTCCACTGCTGGATGAATGGCTAAATAAAATGTGGTATGTCCATACAATGGAATATTACTAGACATAAATAGGAATGAAGCACTGATACGTGCTGCAGGGTGGATGAACGTGGAAAACATTATGCAAAGTGAAAGAGGCCAGACAAAAAAGGGCACATCCTGTATGATTCCATTTATATGAATTATCCAGAATAGGTAAATCCATAGAGACAGAAAGCAGATTAGTGATCGCCAGGGTTTGGAGGAGGGGAAATGGGAGTACCTGCTTAATGGGTCCAGAAACTTCTTTGGGCATGAGGAAAATGTTTTGGAACTAGATAGATGGTTGCACAACACCGTGAATGTACTAAATGTCACAGAATTGTATACTTTCAAATGATTAATTTTATGTTATGTGAATTGCACCTCAAAAAAAAGAGGGAGGGTATGAAGAGAAAACCCAGAAACTTTTCAGGTACCTGCAGGTTATTTAGCTTTTCTACACCTCCCTTTTAGCATGTGTAGTGGGAATAACATTAGCACCTACCTCACGGTTCCATTTTAAGAATGAACTGAAGTAACAAATACAAAGGACCAGCAGAGCTTGGCACTTACAGGATGCTCAAAAGGGGCTGCCATCCCTATTGATTTTTTTTTTTTTTTTTTTAAGAAGGCCTCTTTGAAAAGGTGATGGATACTCTGGATCTTTTCAATGAAAAATGCCCACCCACACACACATTCACAAGGCCAGAACGATTTTGGAGGCAAGCAAGACCGCCCTGAGGCCATACTGCACAAGGCAGTGATTGTGAGATTGAAACAGGAGCCACATCCTTCCGAGACCAAGTCCCCATCGTGCTGACAGGAAGAAGCATCTCTGCTAGCAGGAGTGACTGCACCAGGTAGGGCAGATCAGGGGTCCTGGAATATTAGATATCTACAGGGCAGAGAAACCAGCTATTCCAGAACAAATGTTCCCTTGGTCTAGAACCTCCAGGCCCCTCTCAACCCCTCCTTCCCACAGAACGGGGCAGAGGCAGAAAGATGGTGGGCAGAGGAAAGCCGGGCCATTCAGTCTACAGGAACCCCTCCCTTCAGGGGAAGGAAGGAGCTCTGGTCCTCAGGCTCTGGCTCTATCCCTCAGCCCAGGGCAGCAGCCCCAGACCCAGCCTTGGGCCATTATCACCCTGCACACTCATTAGTCCACCCATCTGAAAGCAGGGATACAAGATAAGAAACGGAATTATCAGGTCAGTGGTTTCCAGACCTTGGGATATTACAGACCAGTAAAATTTCAAGCAAAATGTGAAGGATGTAATGGTGAAAGTTTATCATGACAGGTCACTGAGAGAGAAAACAGCTATAGATGAGTACTGGGCTTAAAATGGCCCTGGTACCAGACTGTCTGGGTTGGAATCCTTGTGTTCATCCTAGATGTATGGTTTGGGAAAAGTCATTGAATTTCTCTGAGTATCCATTTCCTCATCTGTCAAATGGGGATGTAATGATAGTACCTACCTCATTAGAGCTATAAAGAAATATACGTAGACATGAGATCACATATTGTATGATTCTGTTTATATAAAGTGTCCAGAAAACACTAATTTATAGAGCCCGAAAGTGGTTGCCCAGAGAGAGAGGGAGGGGATGGGGTTTAATTGTAAATGGGCGTGAGGGATCTTACTGGGGGATGAAATGTTCTAAAACTAGTTTATGGTAACGGTTGCACCACTTGGTAAAATTAATAAAAATCACTAAATTGTACACTTGAAATGAGTGGATTTTATGATATGTAAAATAACCTCAATAAAGTTGCTTTAAAAGTATCCACGTAGCATTTAAACAGCACCTGACACTTACGAAGTATTCACCGCTACTACATTCATGTTCATTTCATGGAAGCAAAAACAAAAACAAACAAAACCACGCTGACATCAACAAAGTAAGGGCAATCTCAGAATAAAGGACAACCCACTACTTGCTGTGTGAGTTGGGGAGGGTCTCTGTGTCATCAAGAGATTTTGAGCTACTCTGACAGTCTTACCCTCCAGGACATTTCTCAAACCAAGCCCCTGGCAGCCCTACTGAAGTTGGTCTGACTATTTAAAGGGCAGCCGAGGAACGCCTCTCCCTCCGAACGGCTGAAAGGTTGTCCGAAGAGGGTCTGGATGTGCCTGGTAGGTCCCTGGGCACAGTCCCCTGACTGGCAAAGTTAGGAGAGGCAGGTCTCAGCCCTACCCAAGGGAGCCTGTGCAACGGAACTGCCCCCAGTGAGAGGAATCACCTTTGCTTGGGAGGGTGAGAAGCAGGGGCCCTGCAGCCACCGGTCACCTGTGGGGGACAGACATGGACTCCTGCTAGGAGGTGGGAGGGTGCCACCAGAAGGGGAACCACCCGGGATCCTAGCTGGTTAGTTGCTTTTTTTTTTGTCTTTTTTTCCTTTCCTACAAATCTCCTGGTCTCCATACCTAGAACACTTGGTGGGGCACAAACACGCTAGCCATAGCCTCTACCTGAGCGTCTCAGGATTTTACATTGGGGAGAGACTGCATTCGCCAACAGCTCTTTTCTGATGGTCCTCTTGGACGGAGCCAAAAGAAAGGCTATATCTGACAATAAGCGAAGTCCCTCACCCCCGCCCCCCACCAATAGCTGAGCAAAGAGGAGGGATAGACCTATTGGAAAGAGAAGAATGGAGAAGCAAGGCAATGGATGCGACTATTGCCCAAGCAAACACACCCCAGGCTCAGCAGAGAGCGTCTCCAGGAGTGGTAGGAAGGGACCGGCGGGCCCAACAGTGCCCGAGGAGAGGCATGACAGTTGGCTGTGGCTGAAGACATGAAGGCTTCCTCCTATCTGGCAGCGGACACCTGCAGCCGGTGCTGGGCTCCCAGCTCTGCGCTCCGCTCCCCGCAGCTGGACGCCACAAGGGCCGGCCTGACCGCCAGGCCGGGCTCCGCATCCCGCGCGCGGGGGCGGGCGGCGGTCAAACGCCACCCTCACACACGAGTTCCTGTGAGCCCAGAGTCCCCAGACTCAGGTGCGCACCAGGGCGCCGAAGGGTGTGTACGCGCCGGGACGTTCCATTGGCTGTCCGCTTTGACCAGCGGTTTAATCATTACAGGATCAAGTTCCGCGGACCCAAACTGAGGCAAATCTTAGGCTCGGGATGAATCTTCCCTGGGGTCGCGGCAGCAGGCGAGGAGCGGCAAGACCAGCCGGGCGGCGGGCAGCGAGCACCCAGGGCGCGTGTGGGCAGCGCCCGGGCGCGGAGCTCCCTGACCCGGCACGGCGCGGAAACTCCGCCTGCGCAACTCCCGGCTGGCTCGCTCTCTTCCTCTCGGGCTGGGCTGTCCCGTCAGCGCACTCACCTCTGGGGATCCCTCCCATCCGGGGATGCGCTCACCTCCGATCCAGCCCGCCACAAAGTCTTCCAGCTGGAAGTTGCCCATGGCCGGGGCCTCGGAGCCTCGCGTTCCCGGAGCCGGGTCGGTGCCCGTTCAGGGTCTGCTGGTCATGGCCCACGGGCGAGCGCGCCGGAAGACCGAAATCAGGGACGCGGAGCTACCGGCAGGCAGGTCCTTCTCCACAACGGGTTCGGAATGGCTCGCAATCGCCGAAGCGCGCGGGCCGCCCGGCTCCCGCTCCAAGTGCCCGCGGGCAGCTGACATCACGCCCCCAGTAGACCTTAAAGGCGCAGCGCGCGGGCCGGGCGAGGGAGTGTCCACCGGTGGTTATGGTAGTTCTTCACATCTCCTCCGAGACACTGGAAATGATTTCAGGGACATTTCTCAAAGTTCATGACAAGAGGTACAGAGGAAGGCTTTATCCGAGGTCCAGAAGTATTTGATTACAAACACCAAGGACTCTCTGTGATAGGATTATTTAGCTGGGTGGACACATCCTCTTTTTAGCTAAAACAGAGCTGAAATAATTATAATTGAATGTCCAACTATCAACTAAACCAGAAGTTCTCAATTCTTTGAGCTGATTGAAAGCCATGGACAGTTTCTCTATAAAATACAAAGGACACACAATCTTCCATAACAACTTTAGTGGTCAGGGGCTCTTCTCCTGCCTGCGCTCCACACCTGTCTCCAGCCCCCAGGTTTCAGAACCCTATCTATTCCTGAATTACTGAAATAATGTGTGGAAAGCACCTAGCCCAGGGGCAGGCTCCAAATCAGCGCTAAGTAAGTACTCGCTCTTAATAATGTTCAACATTTCCTGGGCACTGACATCGGGCCCCCTTCACTGTACTTGGGCTTACCCCTCACAGCAGCCCTGTGAGATGGGTGTTATTATTAGCCCCATTCCTAGGGAAACGATTGTATGACACATAGATTTTAATCTTTTAGAAAACTGGTCCAGATTAGAAGACGAAAGTTGTCGCACCTGAGTTATAGGTTTAGCTGTGTGAGGACAGATTTAAGCTTTTTCCCAGGAGATCCGGCTGCCACGGTGGAGAGCCCAGGGGAGACCCCACCCAGACTTGAAGGTCTGGCAGCACCCCCGGCTGAGGGCACACAGCCCCCTGCTGAGAGCACCCGGGCCAGGTGGGAATTTCCAGAGCCCTGCAAACTCTCAGCCTGCCCCTGGCCAGGCTTTCAGGAGGGATGAGGCTGGCCTGGAAATTTCCTCTGAGAGCTGCCTAGGCGTGAGGTCTGGGTGGCCAGGCAGCACACTGTGCCTCTGGAAGTGCCTGCCTTGAAGCTCCCTGAAGCCGCTGATGCCCCACCCACAAAGCCCCCAGGGCTCTCTGAGCCAGTCCCCACCCCCTGCAGACAAGCAGACCCAAACCGAGCTCAGCCTCCTTGGCTCAAACACTTCTGAGCAGCCTGCAAACACACTCCCCGCACGCCCCAGACAAGCACAGGGAGCCAGAGCTGCCTTGCCCTGAGGATGTTTTCAAGCCAGAGTCTGTGCAAAGTCTTATTTCCTCACTCCCCCTCACAGTAGCTGTGAGCAGGCACTGGGGGTCATCCCGGCGATGGTCACTTTTATGTGTCAACTTGGCTGCGCGACAGTACCCAGTGATTTGATCAAACACTCATCCAGGCGTTGCCGGGAAGGGATTCTGTGGAGGTGACGACCAACTGATTTTAAGTCTGGGAGCTCATCCTTGATAATCTGGGTCAGCTTCGTCCAGTCAGCCGAAAGCCTTTAGAGCAAAATGGACGTTTCCCTGAGAAAGAAATGCCACCTGTGAAATGAGCATTTCCAGCCTGCCAGCTTGCCCTCCAGATTTCACACTTGCCCAGCCAGACCCCACAATTATGTAACATAGAATCTCCCTCTGGTTCTGTTTCTCTGGTAGAACCCTAACTGCGTACACCTGTAAAATAGAGACGAGGCAGCTCGTAGGAGACTCAGGGAGGTTTCATGAAACCCTAACCAGTCAGGGGGTCTCATGCCCCCCAGCTGTGAGCTGGTGGAGGGATTCTAGGGACAGCCTTGCTCTTGATCTCTCTCCACACACTTCTCACCCCGCCCTCCACTTTCCTATCCTGCCCCTTGTCCTGAAATGGTGCTTCATGGTGTGCTCATGTCTCCCTGAGCCTGTGCTGACCCCCATCAGCCACGGGCTCTCTCTTCCCTGCCCCACCCCCAGGCAGTGATGCTTATTGCTATTCCAGCCACATCCCAGACCCTGGCCCCAGAGCAGGCAGGACCTGGAGGGCCAGGGTCTGACTCTGCAGGGGCCCAGCTCCCTCCAGGCCCAGGCTCAGCCTGAGCCAGCCCGGAAAGAAGGCAGAGGGGTGGTCACCTCTCTCTCAGACTCCCTCCCTGTAGGCAGCACTGCACCCAGCCAGGTCCCAGCTGGAGGTCGATGCTTGCTGGGAAATGTGACCTGGCTACGTGCAGGTGCTTTTGGTCCAGTGAGAGCTCCCTGGCCTCCCTCCAAGAAGGAGGAAGACTGGTGTACCTCAGTGTCCTGCTAGTTTCCAGCAGGGACCCAGCCTTAGCACCAGGGATGGCAAAAAATGATGAGGGGTAATGTCTGAAGGAAGGGACCTCTGCTGGGCCTCTCCCACTGGCACATTTATGTCACATCATCAAGACCATCATGGTGTGGAAGCTGCCCAGGGCTACTTCTTCCAAAGCAAGACAAAGTTTGCCACTGAGGCTTGATCCGAAAAGGGCTGAGAGGAGTGGGGCTACCAGTAGCACCTCCCCCCACTCACCATGCTGTGCCCTGCCATGCTTGGGACGTGTGCCAGGACAGTTATGAGAAATGAAAGGTCTCCAAAGAGTGGTCATTGTGTGAACTCACCTTGAAGCCAGTCCACAGGTGGAGAGCCTGCCAGTTCACCAAGGCCTGCCTGCTCTTTTGGAGGACCACCCAGAGGGTGCCAGGCGGATTGTCGTTCCCTCAGCCCTGTGTTGGCACCAAGTAAGAAAGCCTTGAGTTGGCAGGCAGAGGCTCCGGAGCCCTGGGACAGCCTCCCGGGCCCAGAAAGCGGCTGCTTGAACTGCTAATGAGCTGCAGCAGAGCGGAGGGTGTGGGCTCCTTTCCAGAAGGTACCTCTGTGCTCCATTCCCAAATGTGGGCCACAGATCTGCCCAGCAGGCACACCGACGAGGGAGGTAGGGGGGGTACCCAGGTGTGGTCTCGCGGCAGCCAACGGCCTGGCCAGAGAATCCTAGACCCAGCAGAACGCTGGCTCTGGGGAGGGCTCTGAGCCGCTACTTGCTCCTGGCTTCCCTGCTTTGGAGCAGCATTTGTAGTGCTGCCATGCACCCTTGTGTTCTGCCCTTGGGAGAGAGCAGGTAAAGCAACTGAGGCACAGAGAGATCAACTCCCTGGGTTGCTAGGGTCAGAAAGAAACCCAACTTCCTTTCTTCTTCCGCTCCTTCCCCAAAAGTAACCCCCAGAGCATCTTCCACCCCAGTGGGGATCGGCAGATGGGCGGTGCTGACAGTCTTTGATAATGAGTGGCGCATTTCCCATTTCTCGTTTGCCCTTTCAGGTAAACAGTTTCCCAAGCACCTAGTCTGTGTCAGTCTCTGCCCTTGGGAAGGGCTCTGACAGAGAGGGGACCGTTTGCCTGAGACGTCACATGGGGGCGGCTGTGAGAGCACTGAGGGGAGTCAAGTGTCAGTCAGCAGTCAGGCAAGGCCCCCCACTACCCCCTGACCCCCGGCCCCGGCTCTGGGGCCTGCAGCCTCCTGGCTGCACCCTGAGTCTCTCCAGCCCCATGGCTCCACCTCCTTGGCCAAGCCCAGGTCCCCCACCTGCTACACCTGGGCCAGGTGCTCCCACCTGACACCCCGTGGCAGAGACCCGGCCCTGCTCCCTACTTTCCTCTGTCTTCTGGAAGCTTGCCCTCACCCGGTGGGGCGGCCTTTCTCCCTGACTACTGCGCTCTCCCTCCTTCTCTCTGTCCGCGGTACTCACTTCCTGCCCCTCGTTCCGTTTGGGGACTCTCAGGGCCCTCACCTGGACCCTCTCGCAGCCATACCCATCACCTCGCAGATCACAGCCTCGACACCTCATCTCCTACCTGTCTCTCCTCTCCTCAACTCCTCTACCTGGATGGCCCCATGTCATCTCTAACTCGGCACATCCTTTTATGGACTCTCTGTTTAACTAACTCTCTAACTATCCCTCCAGTGCCCCACCCAGCTGGCCACCCAAACCAGACGCTGGGCATCACCCTTGATTCTGCTCTCTCCCCCAAGGCCTCATTCCATCAGCCGTGAAGTCCAGGGTCCACCTCCTCCCTGGGCCCGACATCCATCCCTCTCTGACGTCTCCCAATGTGGCTCAGCCCAGCCCTGTGCCTCTGCCTGCCTGGATCATGGTGGACAGAAGCCCCTGGGTCCCTCTGCCCCAATCCTCTGTCCCTCCAGCAGCTGCCACAGTGAGCTTCTGAGACCTTGAATCTGTTCCTGCTCTCCGGCTGACAGACCTCCAATGACTCCCCGTGGCCTTGAGTCTAGTTCCACTTCCTTAGCTTGGCATGTAAGGGTCTGTGGGCCTCGGCCCGGCTGCCTTTCCACTTCTCACCTCCTACCACCCCAGCCCTCCCCTCAGGCCAAAGCCCCAGCTGAGTAGTATGTCCTGCACGCCCCACATGCTTTTCACATGTGTGCCCGCCCACATGTTCCCTTGCTGGGAACCCCCTTTTCCCCACTTCTCTAGCTAACCCTCACACCTTACTCCTTTGAAACTCAGCTCAGACAGCTTCTCCTGATAGGCCTTCCTTGAAGCACTCACGGCCCACTCCATGCTGGATCTGCTATCTTTCAACTGTATTTCCAGAACACTCCAGGCATATGCATAGCACTGCCGTCACGCTCTATGGATTATGGTCTGTCTTCCCGTCAGGACTGTGGACACACTGAGAAGAGGGCACTGCCTTATTCTCCTCTGGACCTGCAGAGCCTGGCGGAGGCCTGGTGGACATCACATCACTGCTCAGCGGGCCTTAAAAAGGGAGGCCATGGAGAGCAAGTCTGAAGGGGCTGCTGACTGCTGGCAGTCAAAGAGGGAGTCTAGATACAAGGCACAGCAGAAGAGACCAGGGTCTTTCTTGGCGTGTTACAGAAGCCCGGCTCCTTGCAGGCCCTC